ATTATGTGCCAAAATGTCAGACAGGCAGTTCTAGGAGAGGAGAGAATTCACTTATTGGTTAAGCGGCAGTCTTACGTACTGGGTGCTTCTGTAGGTCCCGCACAGCCCCAGGGCCACTGGGTCCCCATGGATCCGGGAGGTGGGAAACCAAGCCACAGTTACAGGTTGGGAAACACATCTGAGGAGAACAGCTGTGTCAGTTCACTGGAAGCAGGTGGGATGGGAGAGGCTTACTGCCATGCGAATGGAGTCTCCGTGGTCTGTGGGTTCCAGGGTTGGCTGCTAGCTGGGAGGTCAGCCATGGGAGCCCACTGGCCACCCAGGGTGGGAAAGACAAGGCTTTCGTCTCCCTGAAAGAGTTACACCCTGAGCAATCCAAAGGGGCAGGTTTACTCTGTCCGATAGGCTCTTCATGAGTCAGAATTGACCCAATGACAAGGAGGTTTTCTTGGCCCGATACTTGCTCTGTACAATAACAAGTTGTTGTTGTTTTTAACTCAATGCTTAAATCTCATGGCATAATTAATTCAGAATGCTAAGCATGTTGCGATGATTCATTTTATGTGTCAACTTGGGTAGCGATGGTTCCCAGTGACTTGGCTACATATTAGACTGATTGCTCTTCCACAATGTAATCTGATACAATGTAATGCAATCAACTTTCATAATGCAATATAAGACAATGTAATCCATCAATTGGAGTCCTGGTGGAGAAACTGAGGAAGTGTTCAGCTACTCATCTAAAGGCTGGTGATCCAAACACATCTATGGGCTCTCCAGAAGAAAGAGTAGACCATCTGCTCCCATAAACATTACTCCCAAGAAAACTCTCCAGGGCAAATCTACTCAACACACGGGGTCACTGTGAGTGGAAGCTGACCCGATCAATCAGTTGAAACAGGAGTTTCTTTAAGGTGTGGTCTGTCTCCAGTCCATATCTAGATATTTCTTTGTTACTTGTTCTCTCTCTCATTCTCTCTCTCACACTCTCTCTCTCTTAACCTCTTCTTGTTGCCAAACTGATGGATCTTGGGATGCAAGTCTGTACAAGTCTCTTGCCTATGAAATCATAAGTCTCAGCCTGAGAATTTCAGACTAGCCAGCCGCTCAAGTCAGGGCATATAGTCCCTTGAAGGAAATCTCTCTGTTTTTCCGTACATGTTTATCTAGAGAACTGTTTCTATTCTGTTTCTCTAGAGAACCCGAAGACAAATGCTGTTATACACTCTGCAAGGATTCAGATGAGACTCATTGGAAAAATGTTACAAAAGGTGAAACTACAGCCAGTATGGACAGCATCATGTGTTTGTCCATCTTGAAGAAATTAAAAGCAGTTTAATGGTATATGGAGTTAATTTTATGTTTCCTAGCCATCCTCACAGAGGGGTACCATTTATGAAGAACTCTCTAGTGAGTCAGAAAATATTTTGTTGTTGTTTGTTTGTTTTGCTTTTTTAACTGGCAACTGTAGAGTCCAATCTGCCGGGCAATTGCCAATAGCATATCCTAAATATTTTCAGGAAGAAATTTGGGAACGAAGAAAAAGCGGGGTCTTCCAGATCCCTTAGGAACCAATCGGCTAGAAAGGCTCTGTAACTAGGAAGACATTCGATTTCTTGAGAGACGTAAAAATGTTGAAGACAGTTTTCCATTTAAACTGTGTAAGCTACAGCAAGAACACTAGGGAAATGCATTTCCCAGGTGTATATGTGTCTACGAAGAAGTGTCTATTTTAGTGAACCTGCACTGAGATTTGTTTTCTGGCAACATGCTCTGCAAATGTGTTTTTCATAATTATTAAGGTCGAGCACTTTTGGTTCCTGAGCACTGTCTTATTCACTGAAGTTTTGGTTGATAATGAAAAGCATGGCTTGTTCTAGGCCATCTGTAGCTGAGTTTGAATATGCCTTTAATTTAGACCATGAGGAACTGCTGAACATGGGAATGATGTGTGGGTGGAAGTTAAAGTTGACATTTCAATCAACAAGAAGGCTTGGTGAACTTAGGTTAGGATCCACTTACCCGTTTTAATTTCTGTTCCAGTTTTTCTTTCTCCATTTGAAAAGCTTTTATCTGTGAACAAAACAAGGGCATTGCTTAATGAAAAAGATAGAAAATGTTTAGTATCAATATGACCTTTGATCCAGCTGTCAGTGACCCACTTAGAAAGCCAAGGGGGTTGATACCAGGAATGCCAACAAATGCAACCACATTTTGTTTGTTTGTATGTTTTCCAGACTTGCAGTGACTCTACCTTGAAATTACACAGTTAAATTTTCAAGAATCAAATGGTTTCACATTGCCATTTTAATTTGTTGGGGTCATTATAATTCTCAGCTTCAGACTGATTGATTCATATTTAGATACAGGGGTAGAAATAGCTTCCATTGCTTAACAACTGAAAGTGGAATTGGTCAGCCTGACATTCAGAGACTTCTGTAATAAATTTGACACATTGCACTTGCCCTTAGTAGATGGTAGATGCCATCTAAGATATTTACATGTAACAATTCAATGAAATCTCACCAATACTCATACTTGCTGCTTAATGTTATTATGCCCAGTTGACAGATGAAAATATTGAGACATACAGGTGCTCAGTAACCCGTCCAAGTTTTTCTAGTGCTTCTTACTATTTAGGGCCCACCCTCAACTCCTCACTCACCCTGCTTTCCCCTCGCACATAGTATTCCTAGAGAAAATGGGCTTTTCTTTGTCTTCTCTCATTGCAAGAATATTGCTAATATCTTGGGCAAGGATTGAATTCCAATGTGAACTTCATGACAGGGACTCAATTAAATTGCACAGTGATAATTTGCAACAATTAAGACAGCATTGCAAGTCAGAAAGAAAAACCAAGAATCATTTCCTCATCAAGAAGATAATAACCCTGTTTTCTCACCCATGTTATTTGTTTGCATGCATTATTTTCAAGAAACTGTATTAGTATATTTTACCACTATTTTATGTTATCTAACTTCTTATAGAGGAGATTATTCTGCTAAAGAGTTTTCTCTAAGTAGAATTAAGGAAGTTCAAGTTGAGTCTTGAAAAAAAATGTCAGAGGAGTTAAATTTAATTTGCAATCTACCCACCAGTAGAAATGACAGTGACTGGTCACTTGGTTCAGATCAGCCACAGCATACCCTACAACCATCCCCTATTTGCTGCAAAGCACTGCAAAATGTTTCAAACACATAATCTTGTAGCTCATTTAATTTTCTTAAAGCCAAAATTCTGTTAGCTACATTTTCCCTTGCTAAAATTGATGCTTATGCAATCTAGTTTCTTGGGTAAGTCCTCTACATACTTTGGTCAGAAGAGACCTCTCATCATTTTCCTCTCCTTACACCATTGTTTAAGAATGAGTTCATCTCAGGTGCCGATCTCTCAGAAAATACGCTATCAATTCAAAGAAACCAAAAGGGTCTTGGGTTTGTTTTCTTTGGCTTCCTTTGGAAGTGAGAAAATAAAAATAAAACGTCCATGTGTTGACAAAGATGGCGTTCTTTTGGCTTATACCTGAGACTTCAGCCTGCTCAGCTGGGATCCAGACGTCCGGTTCATCTGCTGCAGCTCTTCTTTCTCCTGCTTGAGCCGTTCCCGATCCGCTCGCTCTTTCTGGAAGTCTTCTTCATATATTCGCACCTAGGAAACAGCAGCTTGTGGTCACGGTGACTTCCTTTCGTCTGAAGCCATCGTTAGATGACGTCACAAGAGAAGGAATCTAGGTCTTTGCAGTCGGAGGCAATTTACGCTCATTTCATCAACTGGTATTTACGCTAGGACCCCAACCTGGTGCACACACGGCTTTGATGACTTATCTGTCACTCGTGCGTTAGTTCCTCAACCCTTTTGCGCATCTGTCAGGAACTCCGAAGTGATAACAGGCATATTTTGAAAACACAATTCCTCCTACCCACTATTCTACCGCACAGCCGATCATTGGGACGAGCCCCCTGCCTAGCAGTAAGCGTCGCTGTTTGGGGAGCAAATCATTCAAACACAGCACAGGCTTTGATGTATGAATACTGCTTGAAGTTCTCAAGACAGTTTACTGACAATAGCTCTTAAATGAAACCATTGAATACTGACTTCCTGGAGGTTCCAAATATGAATTATGAATTAAGAACAGAAAAGAAGCAAAAGGCTTGTGTGTGTGTGTGTAGGGGGTGGTGGTAACCAAATCACATTAGGAATTAGCAGGTATTCACCAGAGTTATCCTTTATAAGAAATTGTGTGAGTATACTATTAAACAACAACCAAAAGAAAGCTTTAGAGGTCCTCAAAATATCCCTGAAAAGTGTCTAAACTAGAAAGAAAAACAAATTTGATTTTAATGGCCATGCTGTCAACTGCTGGCTTGGAGAATAGCTTGCAGAGCTATGAAAAGAAATTAAGTTGATTCCGACTTACAGAGACCCTAAAACAGCGGTTCTCAACCTGGGGGTCGAATGATCCTTTCATAGCCATCGCCCAATTCATAACAATAGCAAAATGACAGTGATGAAGTAGCAACGAAAATGATTGTATGGTTGGGGGGTGGTCAGTACAACATGAGGAACTGTATGAAAGGGTCGCAGCATCAGGAAGGTTGAGAACCACAGCCTTAATATGACAGCAGAGAACTGCCCCTGTGGGTTTCTAAAACTGTAAAGCTATAGGAAAAGAAAACCTCATCTGTCACCGTGGTGGTTTTGAACTGCTGACCTAGTGGTTAACAGCTCAGTGTGTAAGCCACTGTGCCACCAGGGTTCCTCCGTAAAGATATATAGCCACAGAAACACACAGGGGCAGTTTGACCCTGCCTGTTGGGGTCACTTTGATTTGGGATCAACTAGATGGCAGTGCGTTTGTTTTTTTGTTTTGTTTATCTGGGAACAGGGGTGTCTTTTTATGCTAATGAGGCCAGCGGTTTTTCTGAAGCAAATCCCTTTAGATTTGGGCGACAACAGATCCCTCACAGAAGCCAGCTGGCACAGCTCTGGGAAGGGAGAGCCCTGTCTCGGGAAGACCACCAAGGAAGCCAGGACGGGAGGCTGGAGAGAAACAAGGACATTTTCCCACAGGAAACAGAGGGAAAGCCTCCCACGGGAGTCAGTGTCCTGAGACTGATTTCTCCTACACATGATGGGCTCCTAAATTGTGGCAAAATAAATTACTGTTCCATAATGGTACTCACGTATGGCATTTCTGTCATAGCATCACCAGGAAACTAAAACAGCTATCCACACGGCAAAAACAGAACTTAACATGTATCATCTTAAAATTGTCAATAACAGGGCAAAATGCAATAAATAAGAGGGAAATAAATCAAACTTTGTTTTTCCCCTGGAGCCTTAGATGGAAATTCCCATGTTTTATTTTTATTTAATTGATTTTGCTGCTTTGATGGGTTTTATTTATGTATTTATATTATTAATTGGGAGTTAATATATATCATATCATTCCATAGTTCATCGCATCAAGCAGAATTGTAAATTGCCACCACAATCAGCTTCCAAATAAGGCTTTCTTCACAGGAATCGTCCCA